TCCCTCCTCTCTCCACCCTTCTTCCCTTAGAAGTAGGGATTGCAGGGGTATGGAAGCAGGTTGTCTCCAGCCTTTATCCTGTAGAAGCTGTTTGCCTCAGTTTCTCTAGCCTGGAACACTCCCATGACTCCTGATTTGAAAAGTATTATTTACAGCATTAGAGCTAAAATCCACAGGATTCCTAGGCTTCAAGCCAGGGATATTTCTATCTGGGGTGCAAGACCAAAGGCAGTGATATTGTGTTTATTCCTACACTTGCTCTCTCCATTAAAAAATAACCAACACATTAAGCTGTTTTGTCAGAGAGCCCAAGAGCTATATATGTGTCTGTCCCAGGCAGGCACCCAAGGCTGGGTCCCGTTCTGATGATTTTGCCTGGTCCTGCCCCTTCCTGGGGTGTGGAGGCCTCGGGTTCTGTTGCTGCCTCCTGGTCATCCTGAATATCCTGGATGGAGATGCCATGGGGGCCTCTCTGCTGACTCAGAGTTATTTCTGGGCCAGCTATACACAGCATCCATGTATTTGAGCTCCTTGGAGTGGAGGGCAGTGGAGGACTATGTGTCAGCTTTCCATCCAGAGAAGGCAACCCCAAAACAGAGGACATCCTTGGGGTTGGACCAGCTCCACAGAGCACTCTGAACAAACTCCTGTGATGTCAGTCTTCTAGGCCAGCAGAAAACCGCTGGCCCTTCCCAGTTCTAAAAGAGCAAAGGGTCCAGTTACTTCACCACCACTGGAATACTGCCCCCTTGGGCATCTTTGTTCTATTCAGCAGGTAGAAAGTCATAAGCAGAAGATGTTTGCAGTCCTTCCCTGTAAATTAGAAGCCTCTTCTGGGCCTCCTGGTAATGAAGTCATAAAACCACTACCAGTCTCATCTCTCAAGGGCGAATTATTTTCAAGAAAATAGGAAGTTAGGATCCAGTTGGTATTTGAAATGCTGCAAAGGAGTGGGTGCCTCCTTTCCTGCCTGAGGGAGGGTCCTTAGGCTTCCCAGGCAGTGGTGGGCATGACCTCTAACAGTCACCTTCAGGACTGGCTCCGTGGGGCAGTCCAGGCTCAGTGGGCAGGAACTCCCAGAATACTGGGAAGTCAAATGGCTCCTTCTCTGAGCTGCAGGAGTGATGGAGACCCAGGGGCAAAATTTGCCTCAGAACCAATCCTCCTCCTGCCTCTGAACACCCATGACTCCCCATTTCTTGTCCCACCCTCCAATCCAGGCTTTCCTAAAGTTTCCCTTTCAGAAAACTGACCCAGCCTATGGCCCGTTCTCTAAGGATATGATTCAACCATGCTGCTGGCAGAGCCCCTGGGTGCAGGTGGGACTAGTGCGCTTCGCTGGGATGGTGCCTTAACCAGCGGAAGGGGGAACTCTAAAGGCGGGGGTTTTGGGAAAAGGTGCTTATAAATGCAGAGCAAGACATGGAGCGTGCTCACACAGCTAGTAATACCCATATGCCTTCTAAGAGCGTTCTGGGTCAGGAAGGCCCCTTGCCAGGGTCGGTGGTGGTCATGTTCCCCTCCATGAGCAACAGAGGGACAGACCAAGGGTACTAGTGCAGAAGCAGGAAGTACAGGAGCTGTGGACGGGAGCGGGGCACTCCTGGGCGCCGCACACCAGCTGGACTGGCATAGCCTCATCAAGAGGGCACCGACGGCCACTTCACATTCCAGCTGACCCTTTGGGGGTTGCAGAGCCAAAGCAATGCTCTCCGAAAGGTCTAAAGGGCAGCACCAAGGAGAACCCAAGGGTTTCGGCTGGTTCTGGCAAATGCCACTCCGCACGCCCAGCAGAGCATCTGAAGGCAGAGGTGTCACCCACTCAAGGCACAAAGCAAGTCTCTCAGGAACTCCCTGCAAGCCAACCAAGTGATCAAACAAGGAACACAACTTTGCCACAGGGGGAACCTACTTAGGCCAGTTCTGCAGCATTTCTCCATTCAGTGGGAGATAAACAGTTAGGTGATTATTACTGGGTGGGGATTTCAGAAATGTATGTCCAGCAGTCCTATCAGCCAGTTTAAATGGGGTCCAGCTGCTGGGCCAGTTATTAATTAGCTCCTTTTGAGAGCCTCAAAATGTTCATTTTTCAGTTAAGTTATCCAAAGCACTGACATGTGCCTCTGTTGGTATTATTCCCAGCAATGGATTAGTCCCTATAAATTAAGAAGAAAAGAGAGTTGAAGTTTAAAGTCCTAAATTCAATGGTATTACCACTCTTTTCCTTCAAGAACAATTCCTGACTTGCTATCAGAAGCAAGCACTGCAGGCAGAGTGCTGACCAGGTTCAGGGACCTCGCATGGCGCTGTCCCAGGGACTGGTGACCTGCGCCTGGAAGCAGGAGAATGCAGGAGGCTGCAGCCAAGGGCAGACACTCTGTGGGCTTCTTTAGAGTTACCACGAGCTCCTCACACAGGAGCAGTGCCAGAGATAAGCGTCCCAGATATGGTCCCCACCCACAGGCCCAGGTCCATTGCTCACCAGGCCCCTTACACTGGCTCTGGCAATGCCCCTCTTCAGAGGAATAACGCTGGGTTTCAGGGTCTCACTGACCTTGGAGCCGGAGTGTCCTGTGTCCTGTTGCACGAACACAGCCAAGAAGTATAGCAGGAGCTGGCAAGGCCTGGCCCAGAAAAGGCTCCTGGCCTGGGCGGGGCTGGGGGCCCACTGCAGCCAATCCCTCAGGACGCACGTGATCCCCAAGTTCTGCCCTTGAAGGCCAGCGGCGGACTCCTCTTCTCCCCAGGCACTGGGCTCTTTCTAGCACCTGCCCTTTCTCTGAAACATTTCCCTCTCCCAAATCTGGCCCTGAAGGCTGCCTCTCCCTGGGCTCTGCAAGGGTTGTTGGGCCTGCAGCCTGCTGACTGGCTGCCCAGCCCTGCAGGAGCAGCCTCAGGGTGAAGGGCCAGCCCAGGAAACTGCCACATCTATCAGGAGATTTGATTCTACCTTCCCTTAGGAGCCCCAGCCCTGTAAAATAGCCACCTCCCCCTTTCCAGCTGCTCATCAGGCTCTGAGCCAGGCAACAGAGGTTCTCCTGCCAACTTGTTGTCTGAGACCTGGAATCAGGGACAATAATATCACTTTTCTCTTCTGGATCAGGCCATCTGAAATAGATTGCTAGACCACCTCACTTTCTATCCACGGCACCTTAATATACCAACGAGAAGGCCCTGCAGTCCATATCCCTACTTAAAAATAGCTCTCCTTGGGACGTCCACCACAAACCGGAAAGGTTGACTGCAAATAGCCATGACCCTCCAGAACTTTGGACTGCAGCCCTGACATTTCACAGGGAGCTGCCTAGGCTTCTCGTGACAGTCACGTACCCAGCTTCTATGTCCACGTGGACATCACCAGTGACTGCTTTCCCTTCAGTCTCAGGGCCCAGCCCATCTCAGGGGAGGATGGGGCAGGGGTGGAGCCCAGGAATGACCTCCCACCTAGAGTGGCTCTCCTTCTGAGTTCCCACTTTTTAAAAATACAACTGAAAGCAAAAATAAATATTTTATCTTTGCATGGGGTTACATAAATGGGCCTTATAGGGACTGGAAAGTTTCCTGATTTGGGGGTGGTGCTTTGGGTGTACACAGGAGTAAAAATTCCTCAAGCTGTACACTTAAGATTCAAGCAGTTTACTACGTATTGGGCATACTACAGTTAATATCTATGCTATCATTATGACCTAGCTTACACTTAATTGAAATTTTTACAGAGTGATACTTACCCTTTCTACATTCAAGTATTTTCTAGGCTTTTCTATGTGGTTTCATTAAAACAACCACAGATCGGGACCAACCAAACTTATTGTGTGGTCCTCTAAAACACTGGAGTCCCAGTTTGCACCTTCTGTCCTAATGTCCCCTGGGGACCCCTGCTGGCAGGACCAGCAGCGACCTGGAGGTCAGCTGGGCAGGCAGCTGCTCTGGAGACGGGGCTCTGCAGGGTGCGGTGGGGAGCATCTAGGCTCATCTCTTCCCCGAAGAGCTCTTTTGCATACATACCATTTCAAGTCAGTTCAGGCAGCAATTGAAATAAAACCAGTGACCCTGCAATAGCCCAAGTCCCCAGTCCAGAAAATGAGGAGGCTTTGGAGAGCATGCAAATGTAGAGTTCAAAAGATGGCAGTTACAATGAGAAAACCCTCTTCTCTCTCCTTTTCCCCAATTCCTTCCTAATGGACATTTAGTACCCCACCCTACACCTTACCTCAATCCCTGAACTTTTACTGTGTAATTTTATATAGTGAGTAAGGGCAGATAAGGAAAAGTTGGGACATTGTTGGGAAAAAGGGGTACCACTTTTTGGGGTCATCTTCAAGCTTATGATAAGGTGATTCAGTGGGGGTGACCCCTTCTTCAAGTAACTCAACAGAAATTGCAGACTTCCAGAAATCCTTCAGACTGGTTCTCTGTCACACGCCATTTCTTCCTTTCTCACTGCTGCCAACTGCCCTCAGAGTTCAGGGCTTCACCCACACCTAGTGGCCAGTGAGGCCAGGTGGTCAGCTTGTGCCCTAGGGGCAGGAACTGAAGTGAAGTATGCAACTGCCACATCACTTGTTGTGGGCTTCTCTTCTCCATTCCTGAATCCGCTGGGGTCTGGTTGTAGCAGGATGCAGATGTGCCCAGCAGGCAAGAGCCCTCCATGTGGGATGGCCAGGTAGTAAGATGAAAGGAACCTGGGGTCCTAAATTACCACCAGTCTGACTGCTTGTTTCAGGACTGGGAAAGGAAGCTAATGGTATAGGAGGAACCCAAATTCTTCCTTTCCACAGTTCTCTCTTGTGTCCAACAGCTGCCTTATGTTTTCTTCAGATCTAATGTTAGGACAACATCATTTACTTGACAAAAGTTGAAGTCTTTTCATAAAGACCACATAACGATTGCAGTAATTCTAGGGGCAGATATGAACCTTATTTTATAGATGAGGAACTTAGCCTCAGATGGCGCAAGAGACCATCCTAGGTCGGAGTTGATGGCTGTGCCCGGCCCCTAGCCCTGCAGCTCTGCCGTGCACGAGGGTTGAGCTGCCGTTAGACGAATTCTCTGATATTTTAGTGCCTGCCACATTGGCTTCTTCTAAACATTTTTCCCTCTGAACTTTAGAAGTCAAAGAACTTCTGAAGGAACCCATTGCTTCAAAGAAGACAATGTAGAAAAATGTGAAAAGAATCAAGTGAAGATACTAATGAGATGTTTGGGGATTCAAGAAAGGTGAAGTTTAATTTGCATATGGGCATAACCCACACCTCACTGGGCAAGTGTTAGGTCACAGCACAGACCCCTCTGTCAGAATCACAAATGTCAGCAGTATCGCAAAGTAGCGGGACACAAACAATGTCTCCCCAAGTAACACATGGATTTGTCCATCATATGCATAAACAATAAAGAAATACATTAAAATCCTCTGCAAAAGAGAGATGAGAATGGTAAGCGTGTTACCTCACATTTGGACAGCACTTCAAAGTTTAGTCTAACCCATTTTGTCCTCATAACAGCCCTGTGAGGTAGGCAGCACAGGAATTACTATCAACTCCACTTTACAGATAAGGAAACTGAGGCTCAGAGAGATTTTAGCACTGGCCCAAGGTTTCTCAGGGTATAGATGTAGATCTGGGCCTGGGACTCAGGGCTAGGACACCTAGTCCAGTGCTTTTTCACAACTACCTTTCTCAGGAAAAGTGAAATAGGTTGTGCAAAAGTTGGTGGTTCAACACCATTACATACAATTGTTACTCTTCTTGAGCAGATGAGATTAAGGACAATCAGTCCTACTGTCAATGTCCTGCTGTGTGGCAACCAAGATGAATAATTTTCTGAATCATTCATGTGTTATACCTACAACAAAACAGTTGTTCTCTGCCTTAGCTCTGTCCCGCCTTAATTTCAAGTCACTAATTGAGGAGGAGAAATAACACTCTGATTAGGTTTCACTGACTCAAGTCTTATTACCAGGATTCATATAGAGGCATCTGTGATCAAGTCATTATTCAAACTTACAATTGGTTGTCTTGTTGAAATGAAAATGAATCTTATTCATTTATTCCTTCTGTCTGTGGACATTAACCTGGCTCTAGTCTGTAGCCATAAAGAATGCATTATATTTTATCCCATTTTAATAGTAGTAAGAATGACCAACTTTACAGATTGGACTGAAGAAAAAAATCTTATTTAAAGCAAAGGGAAATATTTTTTTCCAGGGGGAACAAAATCAAATTTTGAAAAGCCAAATAAAATCCTTTAAAATAAAAATTAATTTTATTAGGAATAACTCTTTCATTGCATTGCTCTTGTTAGTTAAGTATTTAAAGGTGGCCCTACCCCTACTGATTCAAGGTATCCTGTCTCGTATTACACTGTGACAGAAGAGGTGCTGTCCCATTACATCCACACACACTCCAAATTAGAATTAAAGGATTGTTCTCTTCCAAGATTCAATATCTATGAGCTTCATTTACTTTTAAATACTTCTTCAACAAATTTAACAAACAGTAATCATAAGATATTTTTCCCTGCAGCAAAACTGTGTATCTTAGTTAGTAACCAAAGACATCCCCTAAAAGCCCTAATATAATTTCACTGACAGTATAAAATGTGGGTATTCATCTGAAAGCATGAAATTGGATTTTACTTCTGATTTTCTAGGTTAATTTTGCAATAATATAAGTGTTTGCCAGTTGGTTATTAGAGGATGACTAACCATCTACTCTTAGAAATGGGTCTCATACAATGAAATATAGGCAGTCGCAGCTTGGAGTGCATGCTTCAACAGTACACACAAAGCTTGAAAAGCAGAGAGGACAGGCACCTAATCAGGAGAAACACCACAGATTACTCTTGGGGATTTTAAATGTAATCAAACTGAGATTTTCAAAGTGCACATTCTTATCCCAGCTGGCCCAGAAATGGTGCAGGTCATCAAAAGAAGATGCTCACTGGGAGGTGTTCTCTCTATAATCCAGCAAGGCTTCAGATTATAGGAAACAGAAGGAAGGGCTTGTAACTCCATAAAATGCTATAGCTCAACATAGCAACCGACAGTGCCCAGAACTGACCACCCATGCCCATAGCTGACCACCGTGGGTGGGAGGAGGAGGATGGGGAGGGTCACTTCCAACCTTCTTCAGGAAATAGGTGGCAAAAGTTTTGTTAACTAGATGAGGAAAACCTGCATTCCAAATGGGGAAGAACATTTGGACATTCCTCTACCTCCTATTTTTCTTTAATAAGAATGGCACTGGTGCCTCTGGAATATTTGGGTCAGAGAAATAAGGGTCCAAACTTCCAGGGAAAATGCACACAGAGACAATCCCTGCTCTCTGGAAGACTTTGGGGATTCCAGTGCATCAACCTTTTCACACATTGTTTCACCTGGAACGGCTAAGTGTGGTCCTTTCACTGATTGATCCTGGTTTTAGTTTGCCTTCCAAGACCATGTTTTTGAGCCAAGAAATTTCATCCTTATTTAACTTTTCTTCTGCAAGACCTTGAGGTGCAACTGACCTATATAAATCCTCAGTTTCTGAACACTGAGGAATAAATTGCAAGTTATGCAGTTAGGATCCAAACAACCCATGCTTCTTATCATGCGTCAAGATGCATCAACCTCTTATTTGAAACAAAAGAGAACAAACAAGCAACTTTCCAGAAAAAGAAATCTAATGCATCCATAAGTAACCCTCCTTGGGTTTAGTGCTACACTGTTGGCTAATATGAGCTGTTAAAAATATTTTGGAATGGTCTTCAAATATTGTAAATATTTTCTTTTACTTACTCGATATTCGACTACATAGTTATGTACAGAGATGGCCCTTACCATGCAGGAAAAATATACATTCTCCACCTCTATGGTACATTATCAATGCCAGTGCTTCCACTGGGTCATGAAAGCCAGCAAGTTGAATTTATTAGCTGTTAGTTCTAAAAGCATAATTTAAAGTGCAGAGAAAGAGGAAAAATAGATCAGTTTTTTCATTGTCGGCATCAATATGCTTCATGCTTCTAAGAGAAGATGTCAGGTGCAATAGGCTCAGGTAACAATAACTTTGTATTTTTTCTCTTCCTTCTCTTAAAGCAGAGGTCTCTCTGAGAAGAGAAGAGGGAGGTAAACATGAGATAGCCCTATTTATTCCACAACCACAATCCTGGGAAAAGCAAGATCACTTCCCCAGCCTCAGGTACAGGACTAACACCCGCATTTGGTTTTCTGATATAAAAGCTGTTGAGTGGTTGGGCCTATTTCCCATATATTACAATGTTTTCACTCAGAAATATCCCCAAATGTAAAAGCAAAGGTGACTGGGGAGAAAGTGTCTACCAACAGCACATGGAAGTGTGGGTTTTAAAAAGAAAATTCTATTAAACAGATTTAAAAAAATACAACTGACGTTCATAGTGAACCTAAAAATGGTTTGTGTAAATCAGAATAGATTCCTCCATTACTATGATGATGAGAAAAGAAAACAAGCCCAGCCAGGTGCAGAGATAATTAATAAATGTATCTTTTCACTCAGTGTTGAAACCCACTCTTCCCATGGCCTCTGGGGCCTTCTGCTCACTCTACAGCTTAGTTGGCGGGCTGCAAAGGCTCCTTTTGGAGAACTCTGCACTCGCCTCTCCAAGGCCAGTGGCTTCTTGGGCACAACAGCCTCAGAAAGAAGCTTCTACCCCCACTTCAAAAGGGCCACTGGCTGGAATCCTCTGGGGCACAGCCTACTCAGTTTTTATTCAAGGAAATGTTATGTACAAATCCTTCTGACTTTCATCTTGTCTTTCCTGTCCTGTTTTCTAAAGACTGAAAAAGCAGTTTCAGAACATGCCATTCTTCCAATATAAATATCCATGATGCACTGGAAACCATGCACATGCTGTGGACTGAGATTGCTTATGTGTTGGCCCAGCCCGACGGAGAAAGCCTTGGCTTTTCTGAAAGCTTGTGACAGAGGAAATGTAACGGAAGCAGTTAAACCCTAGGATGGGATTGGTCGGTGTACCAGGCCAGTAAAGTGCCAGAGAAACATCACAGGCCTCTCCATGGATCCTTGTCCCCAAGTGCTAACAGAACACTAGCAGAGTTTGAAATTTACCTTCTTCCAGCTTCACTAGCATGGCTACCAGCATCTCCCCTCTGACATTCACATACGCAAAATGTGCCATCAGCTTTACCAAATATCAACCTTTTCACTTTCCCACCCAAGTATGAAGTGTCTGTTTTTGACCCCAAACAGCTGCTTTTCCCTGGCTGGAGACAGAATTCCAGTTCGGTTCTGTCTTCTTTGGTGGACAGAGGAGATGTTTCATCTCCATCCCCTGTCTTCGCTGCACCACCAGAGGCATGGCATACACAGTTCTGTCTGTCCTGCTTTCCATGAAAATTCCATGGGCTCAGCGGAAGGCTGGATCTTCACGCAGGGAGCCGAGGTTCAATTTTTAGCGACAGCTCATACAGTGTATCTTCATCTATGATGAGGGCTTTGTCAAGCAAGTACTGAGTGACCTGGCGGAAAAGGGAAATCCCAGCTTTTCTTTCTTTCAGAACACATTTTTCTGAAAGAAACTGACACAATCCAACATTTTCTAATAAACATTTAACATTTTTACATAACTAAAAAAATTGTGAATATATTCTCATTGTAAAAAAAAAAAAAAAAAAAAATCAAACATCTCTAATCCTCTCCCAGTTTCCAACCCATCTCTTCCCCAAGAGGCACCACTGTTACCATTTGGTTTGTATTCTCCCAAATATTTTACTGTCTTTCTATATGTTACATGTACTTACAGAAATCTTTTCCCCCTTGTAACCATAAGTGGTATCATATCGTACATTTTATTTTGCTTTCATCTCTTAACTCTAAGTTGTGGAGAGCTCTCCATGCCAGCACCTAGAGCACTAACTGCTCTACACTCTTAATGGTGTGATATGTCAGTTTGTTAGTGATTGCATATTGTAGGCTATTTTGTTGCTGTCAGTATTTCACTATAACACAAAGTTACAGTGAAATCCTGGTTAGCTCGCTTCTCATGCTCACGTGGGAATGTTCCTCAAGGGTAGATGCTAGAAATGAAATAAAGGAAATGATACTGAAATAAAAATGTTGGGGTATAGGGTATTTCCATGCAAATATTTCCTTATTGTAATTGAGATATAACTTACATAAGTAAAATTCATACTGTGATTAATTTTAATTTGAAATTAATACAAATTAATTAATACCCATGGTGCTTATATATATCACAATATAGGACAATGCCACCACCCTGGAAAGTTTCCTCATGCAGCTTCCCAGTCAGTCTGCTCCCAGAAGCAACCACCACTCTGATTTCTATCACCACATATTAGTTTTGTCTCCTCTAGAACTTCATGCACATGGAAGCTTGCAGTATGTACTCTTGTGTGTCTGTCTTCTTTCGCTCAGCATGATGTTTTGAGATTCATCCATGCTATGGTGTGTCAGTAGCCTGCCCTTTTTCATTGCTGAGTGGTAGTCCATGGTATGGATACCTTTGTTTATCTGCTCATCTATTGATGGACAATTTTTGGCTATTAAATGCTATGAACATTTTGTGTAAGACTTCTAATGGGACTGCGTTCACTTGCACCTTGGATAAATACCTAGGTGAGAAATTGCTGGGACATAACGTAGATGCATATTTAACATTTTAAGAAACATCCAAAGGACAGAGTCTTCCAAAGTGGTTGTACCATGTGACTCTAATAAGCAATGTCTAAGAGTTCCAGTTACTCCATATGTGGGGAAAACGAAACTTTCTAACCAGGATCCTACCTGGCCTTAATAGCGCCCATTGTGTATATAATAAGAGCATGTTTGCATATTTATAGAATGCTTACGGATAGCAGAGCTACTAGTCAGTCACAGAACTGCCAGTCCAGGATGGGGGTGGAGAAGAAGCACCTCTTCACGCCTCCCCTCCATTCCTGGTCTGTAACTGGTCAGGCACGCACTAGTCTCCGGCAACCTGCTCACAGAGCTGCCGCTGGTGCGGTAGCATAGCCCAGTGTGAGCCGGCGGAGAGAGCCGAGCAGCCTGGGGTTTGAAGCAGGGAGGAGAGGCCAGAAGGAAAGAGCAAGAAAAACCGCGTTGTGGGGAGGGTCAGAGCGGTGCTGGGAAGAAAGCTTGGGAGCCATGTGAGAGGCGGGCCGCAGCAGTCGGGAGAGTGCTGCCCGTGCGAGCGCAGCTGAGAGGTTGAGCGGTGAGAATAAGCCCTTTCATTCCCGGACTCTCGCCATGTTTCCCTTTGGTCCCATCAGATTCACTGAGAACTTGCCCAGGGCGGGGAACTGCCTCCTCCCGGAGGTACACCATATATCAGTTTTTAATTTTAAAAGATTATGTACAATGACCTCCAAAACTGTTGTACCTATATAGTACATGAGAGTACCTGTTATCTCATACCCTAATGTTTGATATTATCAAATATTTTTAAATTTTGTTTTTCTGACCAGTAAAACTGATGTTTCATTATAATTTGCATTTTTTCCTTCTTTCTAGTAAAGTTTAGTATTTTTCAAATATTTACTGTCCGTTTTTGTTTCTTTTTCTGTGAGTTACCTCTTCATAGATTTGTCAATTTTTCTACTGAATTATTTATACCTTTCTTGCAGATTTATGGGAATACTTTTATTCTGTCTCTTTGTTCTCTATGTTACAGGTATTGTCTCCAAGTCTATTGTTTATATTTTAACTTTTAAAATAACTACCTTTTATCATATATAGAAATTTTTAATTTTGATGAAGGAAACTTTATCAAACTTGTCTTTTGCAACTTTTACATTCTATACTTGTGAAGGTCTTTCAAATCCAGAAATCATGAATATTTTGTCCTCTATTTTATTCGTATAATTTAATATTTCTTTTTATATTTAGATAGTGAGCTCATCTGGAATTTATTTTTGTGAATGGTATAAGATGGAGAGCTAAAATTCCACTTTCATTTACTGAAAGGTCAATTTCTTCTGGCACTTTCTTTAAATGCCTCCTTTATTTCCTATCAGATTTTCATACAGACAAAATCTGTATGTGGACTTTATCCTGCTACACTGAATTTGTATCCCTGCACCAATACAGTCCTGTTTTATCCACTAGAGTTTTAGGATAAGTGTCTGTATCTGGTAGGGAAAGCTCTCTCCTACTCTTCTTATTTTTCAAAAAGCCCTTGTTTATTTTTTGCCTATTTAAGCATCCTTATGAGTTTTAGGATATGTTTGCCAAGTTCCATGAAATAATAGGGAAAACTTCCTGTGTGTTATATGGGAATCTTCTATACTTCTCAGTTTTCCTGTAAAGCTAACATGATTCTAAAAAATAATATCTATTAAAAAAAAAAGACCAGTTGTGGCTGCCATGGAGAGAAAAAGGAGGTATATAATATAAGATGAACTTTAAAAAACTGAATAGGGATCACATAATGCAAGACTTCTTGGACACATAAAGATTTTTTTTCTTTCTTATCCTAAGAGCAATGGGAAGCCAATAAAATATTTTACGCAAGAGGTAGACATATTTCATTTTCTGCTTCAGAGAATTCTATCTGGATATAATTTGTAGAATGGATTTTGCATTCTAGAATGAATGCAAGTAGACCAGGTAACAGATTGGGATAGCTTGGACCAGGGGTGATGGCAGTGTAGACAGACAGATTTATGAGAAATGTAGGATTTAAAATTATAAAATGTGATGATAAATTGTTCTTTTTTTCTCAATCTGAGTTGCTGAAGATTTGTCTATATTATTGGTCTTTTCTGTGAGTCAGCTTTTGGTATTATTGATCAACTCTATTCCTGCTCCTAATTTATTTCCCCTTTTTTCTTTATTAATTCCCTTACAACCACACAAAATTACCTTTGGCTGATGGTCTATTCGATAGCATGTCTGCTGGAACTGGCGTATTTCTCTGATGATGTGTGATATCTAGTAGAGAAACAACAACAAAAGCAAAGCAAAAATATGCCCCTGCACTGCAGCACATGCTTCCAGGTCCCCATCCTAGAGTAGTCAGTCACTGTCTCCAGTAGGTATGTGGGGAGTCCTTCCCCATCATTCTCTATGCCCCAGAGTTTCCTGCCTTTCAGAATTGCCCCATGAAATGCTAGCTGCAGGAAGGGACTGAATTCCCCATCAGGGGAACAGCTGGCACTGGGTAACCTCAGGGTTGGGAGTGGCAAGCTCTGGGTGCTGTATTCATGGGCTCCTTGTTTCTAACCTGGTGCTTAGAACCTGGCTGCTCAGCAAGAAGCTTTCAGCATGTGTTTTCACTAGTCAGTCTTAGAAAGTCATCCCTGGAGGGTTATTTCTCAATGACTTTGGGCAGACCTCAAGCTGAAATGGACCTGCTGAAAATCCCCTCGACTGGCTAACATCAGGTACTAGTCCCAGTGTCCACCATCTCTTGTACCTTGAGATTAAAAAGCAAGCAGTGGCTTTCCTGACTTGGCCTCTTCTCTGTAAGCCACTGAGGTCATTGAAACAGGCTGCTTAGGAAATTATCACGTACCATTCTCATTTTGGAGAAATTGACAAGGCCTTCCTCAGTAAAGTTTGGTGTTCCTTCTTCAATAAAAGCCAGGTCTGTCAGGTACATCCCCAGGTAAGGGACGGCAGGGGGGTTACAACTGCAAGACCAAGAGGCACTGTTCTCAAGCTTATTCAGACACATGTCTACTTTCTCCCCCACAATTTCACAGGAAGCAACTATGCTGCTTCAATCCTGAAGAATAAAGTCTTTTAATTCCATTTCAGAAGCACATTGACAATATGCAGAGTTTTGAATACATCTCACAATCGAATAGAACACAAATTGCAGCCCATGCTTTACTATGTGTTTGAGACAACGGCGTGTTCAAACAACAGGATGTTTTGTAATAGGTGATTACAAAACATTTGCTAGTAGTATTTGTTTGCAGCACTTGTAAACTGGCCACACTTCTCTGAGGAGTAAAAGCAGGTAGGAAACCCCCATGTCCTCATCTGACAATAGTGTAAACATTCAACCTTAACAAGCTGAGTAGAAAAAAACAATATAATTAGAACTTGTGAAACCTGTTTTCTATTTTAGTATTTACATGTTTTAGAAGTTATAGACTTAATTAATACCACAACTGCACACAAAAGTGAGACTTTCTTGTTTTCTTGTTTTGTTGGGGCACGGGGACAGGTTACACTTGGTCTTTTGGGCACCTAGAGTTGAGAACATGGGCTTTTGATCCAGAGAAAACTGGGTGTGAGTCACAGCCTGACCACTTACTCAGTGGTGCTGGGCAAACTCTCTGAACTGCAGTTATCTGATCTGTGAAATGGAGACAATAAAACTTATCTCCTTAGTTTATTGTGAGGCTTAAATAAGACACATCAAGCACATAGTGTGGAGTCTGTCACTTAGTAAGTATTCAGGGAGTAGTTCTTGTACTATTGTTCCTGTTATTACGAGTTTTTCACTTGAGGCATCACAGGACTAATGTTTTTCCAGAGAAAGTCAAGTATATGTGGTGGTACATCCTAAGAAAACCAGTTGTAGGAGAGTAGATTCTATTCTCTCTTGCTTTCTCTCTGTTGAAAGAGAGAATGATCCAGCAATAAAAAGCCAAAAATAAATAAAAATAATCCATAGGTCCTGGAATATTTAAATTAAAAAAATCACAGGAAATCATTGTGCTTAGATTAAGAAATATCAACCAAGAAACTTTCTATAGTAAAAGTTGGTGTGATTCACTATGGTGACTGAGTATACTCTGTGGTGACATGGTGACATGGTAATATAGTATGGTGTATTCTGCACACCATGAGTTTGTCCACAAGACATTTGCTGTATGCACAGCATTCCAAATGAAAAGGAAACTCAGAAAAATCCCTAGATGGTGGAAGCTGTTTCCAATTTATTTTCCTTTTCACAGCAAAGTAGGAGGAGGGACACTATTTGCATACTACATAAATGATTTGAATATATTTCTGAATTATGAATAATTTAATAATTAAGATAGACATACTTTTTAAGAGTTTCTCTGAGATTTTTAAATCTTCCTTCAGATGAAACTGTCTTCTGAAGCTTGTCCATTAGAGCCTTTGTCTAGAAAGAAACAAATAACTTAGTATGTCATGAAAATGCTCTTATGGTTTGATAAGATGGGTGAGTTACCAAAAGATGTTCCGTTCTCTTCTGCAGTGGTGAGGGCCGTTGCCTTTGTCAGATGTTGTCTGGCATTATCTTTAAATTTGATGTCAAAAAAAGAAGAACATGGAGAAGAGAAAGTGACTACATTAGTCTTTAGCCAAAAAGAGAAGAAAATGGGCAGAAAAGAAAAGTTGCAATACACAAGAAACTTAGGGCTTAAAGAATTGAAAAGCACATGTGCAATAGGGAATCTTAAGAGACGTCTCATGTCACAAGGGTTTCATGGTGAATCTTTTTCGGGTATTAATTTCCAAATCATCAAAACACATATTTGATTTCTTGGCTACTAACTGGCTAATATCCTCCATTCCACATTCTTTCTTTTGTGATCTCATCATCAACTTGTTAGAAAAATATAACTGATATTTACTGAAAAATAAAATTGTTGCTGACATTGGTTTGGAGTTTCTTCCATGACAAGAAAGAATAGTAGGATGCCCTTGGGGATGATGACCCACTCCCAGTAATACCCATACCCAGGCAGCTTGCCTGGAAAATGCACTTGTAATGCCCAAGTTGAGACTCTGTCTTCATCTGGAGAGGAGTTACAGCCTCACAAATACTTTCAGAATGACTCAAAGGTCTGCCTTCTCCATCCTGGTTCTGGAGGACTCGGAGAAGACAGCCAGCAAGGCCTGGGAAGAGGTGAAGGGTTGGGAAGATGGCATGTGGTCAGGCAGTGCTCCTGCCTGACCCAGGGCTGACCTTGGCTCAAAGAAGCTGTAGAAACACAGTCTGTCCTACAACCACAGACAAAATTTGGTCGGCTCCAGACTGTATGTTCTACCAGGTCCTCTGGATGTTTTCCAGACTTAGATCTGGAAAAGAGCTACAAAGCAGATGGTATTACCAAAAGTGTCTGGAACAAGGCATATCTGCAACCAGGCCCTACCCACAATGACTGGACTGAGGCAGTGGGCCCTGGAATAGCTCATCACCAGTGCTAAAGCCACTTTGAATGACACATACTTGTGACAGAAATGGTATATTCTATTTAATGCCTTTACAGGTACTATATTCAAATTTGAAAACCTAATTTTAATATTAGTCTTATCATCCCTATTTTATGGTCAGCTCAGCTGTTCCCAAACCTGCATCCTGTCAAAAACATGACTATCACTTAAGTCAACTACAGAGAAGACTAATGTTTTCTCAAAGATATAAGAATCCCTTGGTGCCAGTTTCAGAGGAAGAAAGAAACAGTGGAGATGGAAAGAGAAGGAAGAAGAGTAACTTATTGATCCAATGAGGTATAACTATGTGTATGAGAAGATAATATGCTCTTTGCATCCAGTGCCAAAATGGCTGAAGCCACCACTGCCTTATGGGGAGGAAAAATCTAGCCACAACAGAAGGGTCAGTGTCCAGCTTTTGGATCTTGATATAGCTGTTTGAATCCCATTTTAAAACAGTAAATACCCATATGAGATCTCTCAAAAAACTAGGAAAAAAGCATAATTTCCTCAACTGTATGAAAAGAACTTATAAAAAGTTAACACCATCCCTAATGGGGAAGATTGAATGCTTCCCACACCCAAGACTGAGAACAAGGTAAGAATGTCCTTTCTTACCACTCTTATTCAACATAGTACTGGCAGTTCTAGGCACAGCAATAAGTAAAGAAAAGGAAATAAAAGGCATATAAATTGGAAATAAATAAATAAGATTGTTCCTATTTATAATTCATGCAATTGTCTATGTAGAAAATCCCAAGGAATCTACAAGAAAAACGTCCTAGAACTAATACATGAGCTCATCAAATTTGCAGATACAATATCAACACACAAAAATCAATCATATTTGTATACTAACACTGAACATGTAGAAATCAAAGTTAAAACTACAATAACACTTAAAATTCTTGAAGAAAATGAAACATTTAGGCATAAGTCTAACAAAACATATGCAAGAGAGGAGGAACCAAGATGGTGGCATGAGTAGGGCAGCAGAAATCTCCTCCCAAAACCACATGTATTTTTGAAAATACAACAAATACAACTATTCCTAAAAGAGAGGTCAGGCTACATCTACACCTGCAAGAACCCAGCAACTCACGAAGGGGGTAAGACACAAGCCCTGGCCCTGCAGGACCTGAGCGCTCCCCCCACTGCAGCCCTCTGGAGGGAGGAGAGGAGTCAGAGAGGGGAGGAAGCAGGAGCCCACGACTGCTAAATACCCAGCCCATGTCATCTGCACTGGGAGCACAGACACACACTGCACAGTATGCTGGATATTAGGGAAATGGAAGAGTAAAACCTGCGAGAGGCTCCCTCCAGCCAGTGCCCCTGGGACAGAAGAAAAGCGAGTGCTTTTTGAAAGTCTTAAAGGGACAGGGACTCCACAGCTGGATGGAAGCGTCCTGGCACACTCAGCCCAGCAGCTGGGAATCCTGGCAAATTTCAGGCACCCCAACCCCCGGGAGGCAACACAGCTCTGAAGCCCCTCACAGCGATAAACAGCCTCCCATCCATTCCCCCTCCTGCGCAGCCCCGCCAGAGCAGGGGAGCAGCCTGAGAGTGGCCATGTCCACAGTGGCTACCCAGAGCCTCCTCCACAGCTGCCCAGGCCAGACTCAGAAAACCAGCCAGCACACGGCAGCCCAGCACAGACAGAGGAAGCCGGGACAGGGTGCAAAGGTTGCCGTTCTCGCAGGAAAGAACACTGGCATGCCTGCCACTCCCTGCAGGGCTCTGAGCTACCCCGATGGTTGCCCCGCCCAAGCTGGCTCAGGAAATAAAACCAGAAGCTGCTCCCCATGTGCGGGTAACTGGCAATGGCAGCAGAGAAGGGCAAGGCAGAAGAAGGGACATTGTTCTCCCAGCTGACACATGCGCCAACTGCCTACGACTACCTCTATTGCAATGAAAAGGCAGAAGAATGTGATCCAGTCCAGAATTACCCAGACAACCCTGGAGAGGGAGCCTGGGGAGATATATTTAACCAATCTTCCTGAAAAAGAATTCAAAATAAAGGTCATACCATGCTGATGGACCTGCAGAGAAATATGCAAGAGCTAAAGGATCAAGTTAGGGGGGCGAATATAGAAATAAAACAATCTCTGGAAGGACTTAAGAGCAGACTGGATGAGTTGCAAGAGGCCATTAATGGAATAAAGATCAGAAAACAGGAACACAGAGAAGCTGAGGCAGAGAGAGATAAAAGGATCTCCAGGAATGAAAGAATATTAAGAGAACTGTGTGGCCAAGCCAAACAGAACAATATTTACATT